AAAGCTAAAACAGTTGGACTTAACAGACATATACAGAACACTCCATCCAAAAACAGCAGAATACACATTCTTCTCAGGTGCGCATGGAACGTTCTCAAGGATAGACCATATGTTGGGAAACAAGGCAAGCCTCTATAAATTTAAAAAAACTGACATAATAACAAGTATGTTCTCCTATCATAATGCTATAAAGCTATAAATTAATTACAAGAAAAAAGCTGAGAAAGGGACAAAGATGTGGAGATTAAACAATATGCTATTGAACAAGCAATAGATCATTAAAGAAATTAAAGAAGAAATAAAAAAGTTTCTGGAGACAAATGAAAATGATAACATGCCATACCAACTCATAGGAGGTACAGCAAAAGCTGCACTAGGAGGGAAACTCATCGCAATACAAGCACACCTTAACAAACAAGAAAAATCCCAAATAAGCAATCTCAAATTACACCTAACTGAATTAGAGAAAGAAGAACAAACAAAGCCCAAAGTCAGCAGAAGGAGAAAAATAATAAAAATCAGAGCAGAAATAAATGCTATTGAAACGAAAAAGGCAGTAGAAAGGATCAATGAAACAAAGACCTGGTTCTTTGAGAAGATAAATAAAATTGACAAACACCTAGCCAGACTTACAAAGAAAAAAAGAGAGAAAGCTCAAATAAACAAAATCAGAAATGAAAGAGGAGAAATAACAGCAGACTCCACAGAAATACAATGGATTATAAGAGAATACTACGAAAAACTATATGCCAGCAAAATGGATAACCTAGAGGAAATGGATAAATTCTTAGAATCTTACAATCTCCCAAAGCTGAGTCAAGAAGAAGCAGACAATTTGAACAGACCAATCACAAGGAAGGAGATTGAAACAGCAATCAAAAGCATCCCAAAGAATAAAACCCCAGGACCAGATGGCTTTCCTGGGGAATTCTACCAAACTTTCAGAGAGGATTTAATACCTATCCTTTTCAAGCTATTCCAAAAAATTAGGGAGGATGGAACACTTCCTAACACATTCTACGAGGCCAACATCACGCTGATACCAAAGCCTGACAAGGACAGCACGAAAAAGAACTACAGGCCAACATCGCTGATGAACATAGATGCAAAAATTCTCAACATAATTTTGGCAACCTGAATTCAGCAATTCATGAAAAGGATCATACATCATGATCAAGTGGGATTCATATCAGGGACACAGGGATGGTTCAACATCCGCAAATCAATCAATGTGATACACCACATCAACAAATTGAGGAATAAAAACCACATGATCATCTCAATAGATGCAGAGAAAGCATTTGACAAGATCCAACAGCCTTTTATGATAAAAACTCTGAACAAAATGGGGATAGAAGGGAATTACCTCAACATAATAAAGGCCATATATGACAAACCCACAGCCAGCATCATACTCAGTGGGCAAAAACAGAGCACCATACCCCTGAGAACAGGAACAAGACAAGGATGCCCTCTATCACCACTCTTATTTAACATAGTACTGGAGGTTTTGGCCAAAGCAATTAGGCCAGAGAAAGGAATAAAAGGAATCCAAATAGGGAGGGAAGAAGTGAAACTCTCGCTGTTTGCAGACGACATGATGTTATATATAGAAAACCCCAAAGAAACCATTGGAAAACTATTAGAAATAATCAACAACTATAGCAAAGTTGCAGGGTATAAGATCAATTTACATAAATCAGTAGCATTTCTATACTCTAATAACAAACTAACAGAAAAAGAACTCAAGAACACAATACCATTCACAATCGCTACAAAAAGAATAAAATACCCCTGGGTGAATTTAACTAAGGAAGTTAAAAACCTATACGCCGAAAACTACAAGGCTTTTCTGAAAGAAATGGATGATGACATAAAGAGATGGAAAGGCATTCCATGTACTTGGATTGGAAGAATAAACATAGTTAAAATCTCCATTCTACCTAAAGGAATCTACAGATTCAATGGAATCCCAATCAGAATCCCAATGACATTCTTTACAGAAATTGAACAAAGAATCCTAAAATTCATATGGGGCAACAAAAGACCCCAAATTGCTAAAGCAATCCTGAGAAAAAAGAACAAAGCTGGAGGCATCACAATCCCTGACTTCAAAACATATTACAAAGCTACAGTAATCAAAACAGCATGGTACTGGTACAAAAACAGGTGCACAGATCAATGGAACAGAATTGAAAGCCCAGAAATAAAACCACACAGCTATGAACAGCTAATCTTCGACAAAGCAGCTGAGGGCATACAATGGAGAAAAGAAAGTCTTTTCAACAAAAGGTACTGGGAAAACTGGAAAGCCACATGTGAAAGAATGAAAACTGACCATTCTTTTTCACCATTCACCGAAATAAACTCAAAATGGATCCAAGACCCAAAGGTAAGACCTGAAACCATAAGGCTTCTAGAAGAAAACGTAGGCAGCACACTCTTTGACATCAGTATTAAAAGGACCTTTTCGGGCACCACATCTTCTCAGACAAGGGAAACAAGAGAAAGAATAAACAAATGGGACTTCATCAGACTAAAGAGCTTCTTCAAGGCAAAGGAAAACAGGATTGAAACAAAAAAACAACCCACTAACTGAGAAAACATATTTGCAAGTCATACATCTGATAAAGGGTTAATATCCATAATATATAAAGAACACACACAACTCAACAAAAAATCAAACAACCCAACCACAAAATGGGCAGGAGACATGAACAGACATTTCTCCAAAGAAGACATACAGATGGCCAATAGGCACATGAAAAGTTGTTCATCATCGCTGATCACCAGGGAAATGCAAATCAAAACTACACTAAGATATCACCTTACACTCATTAGTATGACAAAAATATCCGTAACAAACGTTGGAGAGGTTGTGGAGAAAAAGGATCCCTCATACACTGTTGCTGGGAATGCAAACTGGTACAGCCACTATGGAAAACAGTATGGAGATTCCTCAAAAAACTAAAAATAGAAATACCATACGATCCAGCCATCCCACTACTGGGTATCTATCCAAAGAACTTGACGTCAGCAATTCCAAAAGTCCCATGCACCCCACTGTTCATTGCAGCATTATTTACAATAGCCAAGAAGTGGAAGCAATCTAAGTGCCCATCAACTGATGACTGGATAAAGAAGATGTGGTATACATATACACAATAGAATACTACTCAGTCATAAAAAAGAACAAAATTGTCCCATTTGCAACAATAAGGATGGACCTTGAGGGAATTATGTTAAGTGAAATAAGCCAGATAGAGGACAATCTCTGTATGACTCCACTCATATGAGGAATTTAAAAATGCAGACAAAGAGAACAGATTAGTGGCTACTGGGGGAAAGGTGGGGTGGGGGGAGGGCACAAAGGGTGAAGGGGTGCACTTACAACACGACTGACAAACAATAATGTACAACTGAAATTTGACAAGATTGTAACCTATCATTAACTCAATAAAAATTAAAAAAAAAATGGGCAGGAGACATGAACAGACATTTCTCCAAAGAAGACATACAGATGGCCAATAGGCACATGAAAAGATGTTCATCATCACTGATCATCAGGGAAATGAAAATCAAAACTCCACTAAGATATCACCTTACACCCATTAGAATGGCAAAAATAACCAAAACAAATAGTAACAAATGTTGGAGAGGTTGTGGAGAAAAAATGATCACTCATACACTGTTGGTGGGAATGCAAACTGGTGCAGCCACTATGGAAAACAGTATGGAGATTCCTCAAAAAATTAAAAATAGAAATACCATATGACCCAGCAATCTCACTACTGGGTATCTATCCAAAGAGCTTGAAGTCAGCAATTCCAAAAGTCCCATGCACCCCTATGTTCATTGCAGCATTATTCACAATAGCCAAGATGTGGAAGCAACCTAAGTGCCCATCAAGTGATGATTGGATAAAGAAGATATGGCATATATACACAATGGGATACTATTCAGCCGTAAAAAAGAATAAAATCGTCCCAATCGCAACAACATGGATGGACCTTGAGGGAATTATGTTAAGTGAAATAAGCCAGATAGAGAAGGACAATCTCTGTATGACTCCACTCATATGAGGAATTTAAACATGTGGACAAAGAGAACAGATTAGTGTTTTCCAGGGGAAAGGGGGGGGTGGGGGTGGGCACAAAGGGAGAAGGTTTGCACCTACAACATGACTGACAAGCAATAATGTACAACTGAAATTTCATAAGATTGTAAACTATCATAAATTCAATAAAAATTAACTTAAAAAATATATAATTTCACATTCAATAATTTACCATATAGCATTTCCATGTTTAAAAACAAACACACACACACATATCTTAACATAATAACCACATACCTTGAAAGCCCTTCTGGCCTACAAAATAAATCTTACAATTAAATCTTTATACAGCAGGATTTTCAATGTGAACACATTACGACCTGTCTGACACAGAATCCCTCACAATGAATTCTAAAGTGGCGGCAAATACCAGGTGAGGCCTCACTGAAGCATGCTCTGTTCCCTCCGGGGGGCCGCTCATGCAGTTGCTTCTGCCCAGAATGCTGTTCCTATCCCAGCTCCCACTCATCATACCTCTCAGTGCATCTCTAGCAAGTCTTCCCTGATATGTGCCCAGATTTAGTTTCTTGCCATCTGTTTCCAAGCTTTGTTCCCCATGATTTCAAGATTACACATACTCGGGACACAGTAGGCCCTAACAAATGTTAGCTCCCTTTCTCTGAGCAGTGTGGCTAAAGAACAATGTGGGCCAGAGCCGTAAGAGGAAGGACAGCTTCCTGGAAAAAGTAAATTTTATGCTGGGCTAGACAGAGACAGGTAGGATTTAAATAAGTGAAGAGAAGGGCTGGGCTGAAGACACAAAGGCAGTAATAAGAAGACTGGCCACATGTCCGGGGAGCAGCCGATGGTGAGGCTGGATGGGTGAGGTGAGACGAGATGTAACGGAACGTGAATGTCAAGCAGCACCCTGGCACACCCTCACCTGTGCTCACTGAAGACAGAGGTATGCAGAACCGCCTTCTCCAGCAGCTCAATCAGTTCGTTAGGCAGGTCAGCTGTCATGAAGGCCTTGACAGTGACTGAGACCTCTTCAGGATCCTGTGTTTCTGACAATGCTGTTTGTACCAACTGGTTTAAAAAATCATTAGAAAGGTTACATAAAGTTCTTTCAAGATGGTATCTTTGAAGCTAAACAGAAGGGAAAGATTCCTCCAAGACAGTCTGGAATAGAAAATGGGAGATTTCTCACGGTACAAAGGAAAGGGTGTTTAAAGGAGTCAATCTCAGGGATTTCTCTGTTTGCCCTATTTTAACAATTTTTTTCTCTCACATCAAAAGGGCTACAGACTTATCTCTGCACCAATGACCATACTGTAAATTTACTCCAAAGCCAGGAACACAGTGCACTAAGCAGGTAGCTGAGACGCATGTCTGCTCTCATCTTCGTTTTCGTAAGCCATTGTTCATAGCAAATGTGGCCTCCACAGGGACCCCACTGGCCCCTTGATAGCCTAGAGCACCGCCGCGGCTGTGGTCCAGCCCACCTGCAGGGATGCAGTCAAGCACACCCCGAGCCAGAGCCCTCAGAATCATGCTCTGAAGGAAAGGCCAACAAAAGACTGGCCACGCACCCCTGATTCAACTACGGGTGTCTCACCTACAAGAAAACGTACAAATTGGGCAAAAAGACATTTTTCCAAAGAATACAATTACCAAATAATAGCCAGCTAGGAGACCAGCACTGTTCTCTTTGCACTTCATACCAGGGGCCTTTGGCGACTTCAGGATCTATCATTTCTGTCAAGTTTCTGGTTTTCATCAGGTGGGCAATAGCAGTCCACTAATGAGGAAGAACAGACAGCTCTGAGGAGGTCTGACACGCTGACGTACACCTCTGGCCATGAACTTTCACCATGCAATCGTGAAGGGCTTCAATGGAACTAGGATCAAGGTCAGCCTAGTCCACCTTACAAGCGGCCACTACATACTCCACGGCACCGTAAGAGGCAAAAGTTCTTGCTCTAAGGAGTTTTTAACAATCCCAATACACATGCAGAGGAGGTCGAGAAAAGGGGCTACTGCAGTAGGTAACAAGCCGCGTACACTCAAGGGAAAGGACAGCTGCGACATAGCAAACCAAGTCCACTCAGAGGAGATGTGCTTTCAATTCTCGAAAACCTTACAGCACTCGAAATACACACTGGTTGTTCTAAGGGCAAAAATAAATTTCTGCCATCTATTTGAGTCAAACAGGATGCCCAACCTAAGGTCACCTCAGAACACTGCTTCCTGTAAGTAAACTTTCCATAATGAGTTTCTACTCCAGACCTAAAAGCAGTCTGCCACTGCCATCACACATTCCCTCTAATTAGAAGGGCACTGCAGGAGAATGTCCCCAGGAGGCGGTTATGAATATTCAGTCACAGCAGACATAATGACAGGACCAGTGGCTCCACACAGACACGGGGAGACCCAGAGGCACCCACTGGCTTCAGTTCAGCGTAACGTTAAAGCTGCTCTTCCTGGTTCCAATATGATGTGACCTACAAGATGCACGAGGCAGCAGGACCACAGCTGGAGAAACCTGTTGTCCGCGAACTTGAAGGAAGATCCCTAGAGGACTCTTAACCGACTCTGCCCCACGCTCTCTGCTGCTCAGTGTCTCCATCAGGTTTGGATGAAGTGCATTAAACTCTCACGAAAATCTGAGAGATGGATAAGTCCAAAGCTGAATAAAGAAGATTCAAAATAACATGAGCTTCTACACAGCTAGAAGTGTTCCACAATAAAAAGTTTATTAAGAAAAAAATAAAAGCATGGGCATGACAACAGTGGACAGAGAGCAAGAAGGTGAAATTCAGTAGAGATACAGGGGAACGCTAACCCTTGAGTTTAAACAAATGCGCCCAGTGGGCTGGCAACGTCCTCAGGGCAGGTGGGCGCTTTAATTGACCACCTCAGGCTGAATGAAGCCCACTTGTTGGACCAGGATCTCGTTCCCACCTGGTCTTAGGCCAGCCCTGAACACTGTGCTCAGCAGCTAGGGGACAGCGCTGAGGAAGACGAAGGCACCATCTGCTAATGCTGAGGGCCTACAGGAAGCCCACTGAAGGGCGAGGCCAACAACTACCTGTCAGGGTGCACCTAGGAAGGACCCCCTGCCCCAGCACTGCACCCCAGCTCCAAGGAGATGGTGGATGGTCATAAAGGTACAAGGGGCTCCTCAACTAAGGGAAGTCCAGTTGAGACAATGTTGACAGTCACTTAACTTTTGTCAGCAAGGGCTGAGGTGGAAAAATATTAGGACGCAGCATGCAGGCATGCCATCAGATATTCCTTTTACTGAGGCTGAACATCCCTGCTTTAGAGATTAGGGCCAAGCCTGTGCCCTTAACCAATAAACGGCTCCAAGTTAGCGCACCCTTGGGAATGAAACCATTTTTAGGCAAGCTGCTTCTAGAGAGAGAAGAGAGTAGTGAAGGTTTGCAAGATTGTCTGGTCACACGTCTGAGATGTTTTTGATATAATAATCAAACCAGTCACTTGAGCCACAGACGATTAGAGGGCAACATGTGGGCGCACACACGCATACATCCCCCTGCCCTTTCTGTGCCTCACCTGGTCAACCAGCTGTCTCCTGGATGGGCTGGTCTCCTCAAGGTCTTGAGCCCAGAGCTCTGGGTCCTTCCTGTGAACCAGGTAGTGGACCTGGCTTTTGAACAGAGAATTCTCATTGCAAACCTGAAATAAGCATACTTGTGTATAACACAAGCAGCCAACCAATGGAAGCTACTTGAGGGACCCACCCCAGTCAGTTCCCTCTGACCTGACACTTGTGGAAAGCCAGAGCCCAAGAGAGAGATGTAGTGCTTCGACATGAGACCAGCAGCATCCGAGAAGGTTGACAATGCCCTCTTAAGAGCGATGAGCTGTCTCCAAAGGCCCCTTTCTCAGTTTACAACTTACAGCGAGGTGCAGCTCCTCACACATCAAGCCCTCTCTCTAAAGCGGTGTTGCCCAGCAGAAGTTTCCGAGATGAAGATGTTCTGACCTGTGCTGTCCTATAGAGCCACCACTAGCTACAGGAGGCTACCGAGCATTTGAAATGTCGTGGATGAAGGAGAAACCAGTTTTTAATTTTAGTTAATTTAAATTTAAATACTCACATGTAGCTAGCTCTAAACTATCTCTAAAGTATTATCAGAATAGTGTAGAACTGGTATAGAACAGCATATATGATGCAATATTTTAAGGCCTACGAACATTAAAATATGCTTTCATTGACTGAACTTGAGACTCTTTTCTGAATGTTACAATATATCTCCAAAAAACCAACTGTCCATTGGAACATTCCAGTCTGTGAGGGACTTGCTAAGGCCTGGCGGGAATCAGATTCCTTGCATGATCCACGTGTGTCTGCGAATGCAGGCTGCGCCTGTACATAGCAGGCGGCCAGGAGTGGGCTGGCCCAGCGCCAAGCACACAGGTGCCCACTCTGAAATCTCACCACAGCTCTCCTGCCCAAAGAGCAGACCAAGGGCGTCTCTGTCCTATGTGAACTGCCTTACTAAAAGGACACATCACCTCATAGGGCAGATGGATGCAAAGACCTCCAAAAGGTCTTTAACTGCACTTTGTTAAAAAGGTGGTAAATTAAGCCAAAAGGTGGCTTATGGTATCAAACTAACTAAAGTCCCCAGGCTCCCCAGAGACTCGCAGGTGGGGGGATATGTCCGCCCAGATTGTCGCTTCGGTGGTGTGTCCAAAGTGAGAGTAGGATGAGAAAAGTGAGCTGCTCTTGATCTTCAGCTCTGGATGCCTGATGCCTAATAGACTCCTTCCCCAGTTGTGACTTTCTACTGTGCTGCCAGATGCCCTGAGGTGCTGGGGGCAAACAGACCAGCTGCCCACAAGGAGCTTACAGTCAGACAAACGTCAGATGCATGCACATGAGATTTCTGCAGTTTTAGGTCATGTGGTTAAGTATCAACAGCTCAACCTAAAAAAGTAATTGAATACATGTAGAACCAAGCCAAGGCAGAGGTAAGCAGGAGGCCTGGGGGAACATTCCAAAGAGGGGCCAGTGAAAGCTCCGTGGTTGGGAAGAGATGGCGAAGGGCGTGTGTAAGGGGCTGCGCCCAGAAGAGGGGCAGGAAGTGCAAGGGAATGCAGGTGGAGAGGCAAGAGGGGAGGTGGTCAGGTCGGTTGGGGGAGGGTGGCAGTCCACAGAGGAGCTCCTGGGTCAGGTAAGGGGTTCAGTTTTGCCCTCAGGACACCGGGCAGCACTGAAGACTGTAAGCAGAGGACTGACAGGACAGACCAGGGGCCAGTCAGACCTATAGGCACAATACATACAAACAGGGCACGAGCAGGCCAGAGACAAGGTGTCAGAACTGGAAGGAAACTAAGGTTATGGAAATGTGTTTCATGACCCGCCATGGTGAGCTTCAGAAGCAGCCCTCATCAGACCCCACAGACGATGCGTCTGAAGCCCTGCCTCAGGAGGCCTGGCAGCTGAGCATATCTGCTGCACACCTCGATGAGCTCAAGGTCACACTGCCCCCTCTCCCAGGCAAGGCAGGCCAGATGTGGGTCCCTCTTCTCACAGTACTGGCACACCACAAGGCTGCTGTAGTAGGCATTCTCTCTCAGGAAGTGCTCGGGGCTGCTGCTGTCAATGCAGATCTTGGCGAGTGCACTGTGAGTGGCAGGCTCCTCACAGCCTTCATGGCTCCGGGACTCCAGCCAGAGAAGCAGCAGCTTTAGCCTTTGAGAGAAGGAAGCGCACCATTACCAGTCTCAGAGCTAACGTCCAGCCCCTGGACTCTGAAGGTTGCTTCTAGAAACAAAATAATCTCCCATTTCATTAACCCCACGTTGCTCTAGGGACCAAGACAGATTTGAGTTCCAGATGTCAATTGTTAAATTTTTCCCAAAGGTCTTCAATATCAATAGAAATAACTCACTAGTAGATCTAAACATGAAAGACCAGCCAGAGACAGTCAGTCCTGGGGCCAGGAGGCTAACGTGAAGGGATCGTAGAGAATCAGTCAGGGACTTAAAAACAAACACTAGACCCCAAGGGTACAAGAAGATACCAAGCTACAATACCTTACCTGTTTCCGTTTTCTACTTCAGCCACCAGCTCATCAGTGGAGAACTGTCCTCTCACCACCATGATTAGGTTTTTAATATCCTCAGAACAATCCACATCAAGCAGCCCTCCAACCACGGCTGGGATTCGGCCAGGGTTGACCTAGAATGGGCAAGGTGGTGACTTCAGTGCTGCATGCACAGGTCATTGCCCCAAGGCCCCCAAGACTTGGACAGTATGGTCAAAAACCTGAAAGGGCTCCTGTGATGAAGTGAACTTTTCCCCCTCCAAAATTCATGTTGAAGCTCTAACCCCAGATGTGACTGTATTTCAAGATAGGCCTTTGGAGGAGATAATTAAAGTTAAATGAAGTCATAAGGCTGGGGCCCTAATCCCATGGGACTGGTGTACTTATAAGAAGAGGAAGAGGAGCCAGCCCGGTGGCGCAGCGGTTAAGTGCGCATGTTCTGCTTCTCGGCAGCCCGGGGTTTGCTGGTTTGGATCCCGGGTATGGATATGGCACCACTTGGCAAAAGCCATGCTGTGGTAGGCGTCCCATGCATAAAGTAGAGGAAGATGGGCATGGATGTTAGCTCAGGGCCAGTCTTCCTCAGTAAAAAGAGGAGGATTGGGAGTAGTTACTCAGGGCTAATCTTCCTCAAAAAAGAAAAAAAACACAGAGAAAGAGACAGCAGGGGCACAGGCAAAGAGAAAACACGATGTGAGGACACAGACAGAAGGTGGCTGTCTGCAAGCCGAGAGAGGCCTTGGAAGGAATCAAGCCAAGGTGGCAGGGTCAGCACCTTGATCTTGGACTTTCAGCTTCCAGAACTGTGAGAAAAAAATGTTTGCTGTTGAAAATCTTTGCCTGGTCTGTGGAATTCTGCTATGGCAGCCTGAGCTGACTTAAGACATTACCCTTCAAACTACCAGTCTCAGACACACTCAGGGGTCAGAGGCAGCCTCTTAGGTATAGACTATTATCACCAACCACCAACCGAGGCACAAAGGCAGCCAAACGTCACCTGGGAGCCAGCAGTGATGGTCCCAGCAGTACCTTTTGAATGTAGATCTCTATATACTTCTGCAGGTTGTTTCGGTATAAGTACAGGACGAGGTCGTGGACAAAGTCAAAGCCATCACACACAATGATGAAGGGGAACTGGTCTGTGAGGCTGGCCTCCTATGTGTTAGAAAGCAGAGTACATGTCAGGCAGTGAGGGCCCCAGCGCAGGAATGGCACTGCTTCTGCCAGCACAGTGGCCCCACAGGAGAGTTAAGACAAGACTCTGTTCTAGATATGTCGTCTTTTTAAGGTGTTTGCTTTTGGGGATGTACTATTTGCTTTCAGAAACATGTAGGGGAAAGAAAATAGTATTTGGTAAAGAAAAAAAGAACTCTGCTAAATTTTGGAATAATATTCCAAATTGGCCCAAAATGAAACATTTTTTAAGACAAGTAGCTAATTATGCATAAATCTGACCCAGACCAGGCAGCAGAGAGTGGGCGGCTCTCAAGAACACCTGCCAGTAAGGGCTGCCTTTTCAGACGAGCAGTAATACTCCATGGAACATCACCTGTCAATGCAGGGGGCTGCCCCCAACACGTGCTTTCCACACCCAGCAACCCACCACACTCATGTCTCCCCTTTTTGGCCATACCTAGACCACACTGCTCAGGTTCAAATGCACCCTTGCAGTCTTGGGTGTGGCCATGTGACCCAGTCTCCTCTAACAGAAAATGAATCAAAGTGTCATGTGCCACTTCCAGCCTCACCCATAAAAACATCCATGCTGGCTCCTCTGTATTCTTTCCTTCTTCCAGTTGACCAGGAAGGCGATGTTCAGGGCTACATGTTGAAGATGGCAAAGTAGTCACGAGCTCAGTCCATGAAAGATGGTAGGAAAAGAAGCCACCTCCCTTACCGCCAGGTCCACTCAGAACTGTGCATGAGAAAGAAATCGACTTGTGTTTTATGCCACCAGTAGTGGGGGGTTCACTTGCTGCTGCAGCCTTGCCCAGCCTCATTAACAAGGGCACAGCTGGGGGTGCTGCTGAAATACACAGCAGCAGGACACTAACTCTCCACTCCCACGTCAGCCAATTAAGAGCACGGCCTCAAGCTTCTTTCCACAGAAGAGTCGTAAAACAACTAGTGGGTTCCTCTAAGAACTTTAGACCTCAGAGTAGAGTGCTGTCACTGGGGACCTAGGCAACACTGGGGAGACAAACCCAGCTTTCCAACTCTTGGGCAGCTGGCTGACGGTTTGCTCAAGGAAGGAGGGAACGCACAGACACACTCACCTTCAGAAAGTTCTTCACCTGCTCCGGGTGGTAGCAATTATCCTTCCGGCATATCCTCTCCACCACCTTGATCTGCCCCGTCTTACAGGCAGCCTGAATGTATTTCAAGTGCACATCTGGATCCTGGCTGAAGTTCACA